GAAGCCTGATGATGGCAGATGAGATTCTGCCAAAACGTTGCTACAACTTTAAAAGCACAACTACAATGACGTGGGAAAATACCCGAACAAAGCTGAATGCCATACATGTAAGTACCCGTGAAAACTTAAGAAAACAAATACATATGCATATGTATATATAGGCTGTTTGCTGCTAATCAGCCTTGGGTTATTCTTTGGTCAGTGGAAAAGTTCACCACAAAACTGCATTTTCCTGAAGGATCATCAGCTTCAGTTGTGTTACCTTGCTGTATGGCATTTATATAACCCAGGTCTTCTACTACCATTTGCAGTTTGGTGAATTTCTCAGATATTTTTTGTCTACCCCATAACAACTGAAGTCACTATTGGTCCACAGGTAATCCTTAACAGCTCATTTACTGACTGTTCAATGTTACAACGGCACTGAAAAAAGAGACTTATGATCGCTGCAGCATCCCCACGGTCATGTGATCAAAATTCAGATGCTCATATTTGATAGTTGCAATGGGTCATGTGATCACCTTTGGTGAACTTCTGACAAGCAAAGTCAATGGGGAAACCAGGTTCACTTAATAACCATGTTACTAATTTAACAACTGCAGTGATTTACTTAACAATTAAGGCTAGAAAAGTCGTAAAAATGGGGCAGACTTAACAAATGTCTTGCGTAACAACATAAATGTTGGGCTCAATTGTGGTTGTAAATCAAGGACCACCTGTATTTTGGGGGGGAGGGGACATAATTTCCACAAGGAATTTGAATCCCATCTACTCTCTAGAAGTAATAAATTAATCTGTCTTGCTTTTTGTGCAGGATGGTTGATAGCTTTCAAGAACGATTCCCTACAGTAATGTAATTTATGTACTCCTAGGAGGATCCTGGAGCACTTGGCAAGCCTGGAGTTCGTGTAGTGCCACCTGTGGAGGTGGCATTCGTGAGCGCTTTCGGGAATGCCTCATGCCAGTCCACATGATGCAAGGTTGCCCAGGAAGGCAACAAGAAACTTCTCCGTGTTCTTTAGAAGAATGCCCCAGTATGTAAGCTTGATGTTTCAAAAACACTATAGTCTATACAACTTTGCATTATTTTTGTATGTGTTCAAGAGATCTCTCTGCCCAATATATTGTCTGGGGGCTATGGAAGTTTATGGCAGGCGGGATTGAGGGAAGGAAACCCAAGTATAGAGCTGTGTCTGACTGGCACGCTTGAATGTACTCAGGTAATCAACATTTCCCAGGGTACTGCCAGTTAAGGCCACCTTTGAGTCCAGTGAAAATGTGGTATAATATTTATACATGCACTGGAAATTTTATAAATTGCAAGCCCATATATCTGTAGCAAGGGTATCAAACCCATGGCGTCATGTGATGCATTGCAACGTTTTTCCCTTTGCTGAGCTGGGGTGGGCGTGGCCTGCACATGACACATCCGGCCCGTGGGCCACCAGTTTTACACCTCTGATCTAGAGAGCATCAGGCTGGGAAAGGTTGCCCATGTGTTGTTTACATATTGAGATACATATCCTTAAAACAGGTAGACCTATTGACCAATTGATGTCATAAAATTATTCTTGACTGACAGCTATGCAAATACATGGTCTTTAACAGTTTTTAACCTTATCTCCAGGATTACAAAGTTCCTAAGAAACCCAGGATAAGCCCTATTTGGAATTGCTACCCATAGCATGTCAAGCTAAAAGATTTAGGTTGACACAGAGCTTGCTCTGTCTCAAAACAAAGTTGACTACTTTAGAGAGAATATTTCTTTGTTTGGTGTTGTCCACCTCCTGGTCAACAGAGCATTATGTGGGCCCAAATTAAGTTGAGATGGCACGCGTATTTCTTTTATGCAGTCTTAATTTACATATCTCAAAAATGTTTCACAAAATCACGAACCCAAAGAGCGGCTCCAAAATGTCCCAGTAAAGTAGGTGTTTTTTTTTTTTTTTTACAATAAATGCTTTGTTTCCTGAATGCTAGATCAGCCATTTCGAATGAGGCTGTCACTTCTGTGCAAATAGCACACATTTGTACTATGATTTAATTGTGCAATAAATTTTAGTTGTGAAAGAGGGAAAATTGGCTCCAAACTTATTTTGGGCCAGCACCAACACCACATCTGAGTAAAAAGCAGTGACTACAAAGCTACATATATCCAAGCATCAGAAATCAGTCTGTTAAAAGATTGCATTTCAGCTAGTGAAGTTCTTGCATGCAGTAATATCAGAAAGCCAATGCTGAAGTAGTTTACAAAGTTCGTTAAGGCCATAGAGTAAGAAACAGTAAGCATTTTGTTGGGTTGATTGGCACTTATAATCTGTTCATTATCTGATGTCTTTGCTCCTTGTTTCAGTCACCACAACTGGCCTCCTCAGACCATTGTCTCCTGAAACGGAAGGAGAAAGAGCTGCCAATAATCTAATAACTATCACTGGGATATCATTATGCTTGTCTATCATCTTTGCCACCATCCTTATCACCTTATGGCGAAAGCTTTGCAGAACCCAAAAGTGCAGCAATCCAGTTAACTGTGACTCTCCTCATTCATCTGGCTTCCAAAAAAATTCTGATGAAGAGGATATTTGTCCAGACAGACGTCAACAAGAAAGCTTTTCTGAGGGAGAAACTTCTTGTTTTTCCCCAGGAGAAGCTTCTGACATAACCGTGAACTTCAGGAGAAGCCTTCATTCGGTCCCTGAAGATGGAGGAGGATTAGTTCATGACAATTTGCAGTCCAGCGCTCAAAAAATCATCCCTCCCATTTACAGCTATCGCCTTGCCCAGCAGCAGTTGAAAGAAATGAAGAAAAAAGGACTTACAGAAACAACCAAACTGTATCATGTGGCTCAGAACTCTCTCATGGACACAGTGAAAACAGAAAACCAGGAGGTAGCTGCTGCAAGTAAGTTTAGAATCAAATCACCATTTCCAGAACAGCCACCCGATTACCTAAAGTTGTCCGGTGAGAGACCCTGTTCTAGAATGGATAATACATTTTTGCAGCCCAATTCCGTGTGGAGCCCCGCTCATTCCTCAATGAGGAGAAGCCATCCCAGATATTTTGATAACAAAGGAGAGTCGACAGAAAGAGGATACCCAAAAAGTTCACAGTTCAGAAGAACGGCAAGTTTTCATGAAACTAGAAAAGCAAAGCCGTTTCGGAAAAGAAGCATGTCCACCCTTACGCCAAGCCAGCTGTCATTCATCCACCGCAGAGCCAAAGTGTGGGATCCTGTTATGGAAAAACAACATTGCGTTCAATCTAAAAATACAGCACAGAGCGCTACGGAGCTTGAACTGTATCTCAGCACCCCGTTGGCTGCAGAGTCATTGAGCTGGGGTGGACATATTGCTCACAAACAGAAACTTCCAGAGAAGAAACCAGATCTGGTTCACAATCGTCCACTGGGATCTTGCGTGTCTTGCGCCGATCACTCAGAGCATAAGAGAACCAGAAGCGGACGTTTTTTAAACCCTGCCAGTGCTTGGAGAAGAGAGGCTACTTTCCTAACTCTCAAGGACGATCACCAGAAAGCAGAGACTCTGAGTCCCTCACAGTATAGAAAGAGCAAATGTCAAAGCTTTCCATCTGAAACGGGATGCCACTTCTATGACAACACTTCCTTTGCTCTGATTGACTCCGAACAACCAATGTACGGCCTGCCTGGATATTTTGAGTTAAATGAAAGTGAAATAAGTACTTTGACTGCTGAAAATTTGGCGAGCTGAATTTCTTGTGGGCAAAAGGGAGGCTTTCAGCATTAGCAACTGCAAAAGCTATTAACTTTCAAAGTGTACTTTAACAGAAAACTCCTGAAGAAGGGAAGGAGGCCTCATTATCATTCCTTTTCCCAGGCCAAAACTTGGGAAAAGTAAATGATACCCTAGCACAAAAATAATGACTAAATATGTACTTGTACGGAGTCTCTCTCTCTCTCTCTCTCTCTCTTTAAACTATCTCAGAAATAGACCCTTTAAGGCCAAAGTTAGCCTGTATGCTTATATATACAGTTTACAGTATTGGATAATGATATTGGAGCATATAATACATGTTAAATTGGTTACCTTTACTATCCTCAGAATTCCTCATGAATGGCTGCTAAGTGACTGTGAAAATGCCTATGACATTCTACACTGTGGCATTCAGTGGCCTATAAAATCAGACTTGGAGGTCTACATTTGGTATTAGTTAAGACGTTAGTGGGTTGCAGGCATAGCTGGAATATAGCCGGTCTATTCAATTCTACTGGACAAGCACTGGGTGCTTCTTTAACCGCTTGTTTGCATCACAGCAACTCCAATTACAAACTTGCCAAGCTTGTTAGATATCCTTTCATATTCAGTCGCAAAGCGATATTCTGCTTCAGAAGAATCCACTTCAAAAAAGATTATTCCCCCTACAAGGAAACATATCATTTGCAAATTTCAATAAATTCCAGTTGAAGAAACTCCTTAAAATTAAGCCACTTGGACTTGGTTTCTCCCACTAGCATATAGTTATAGAAAGTGTTTTTTCTTTCAGAAGATGTAAGTGAAAAAATGTAATGTGAAACAAGAAATGTTATTAATGTTTTGTAACAGACAAATTCTAGACATTGATAAACAATGAACGAATGTTTATTTTTATGTTGTTTGAAAGACAATGATATAATTGTGATTACATCTTTTTGCAATTGCTGCTGGTTTACTTGCATTAAACATGGCTGATGTAAATGTACGAGATAATTTCTCACACATTAGGAATTAATATAATTGTTCACATTTTACCAGAAGGCTGAGAGAACATCCATCCCAAAGCTACACTTAGCCCATCATGGAGTTGTAACATTTCACACATTATAAATGGAAAAGTGACGGCTTTAAACGCGTGGTGCTTATTCACAATAATTAAAAAAAAAAACTCTTGTGAAAATGTATGTTAGCTTTATACTTAATTAGGCAGCTATCAAGCTTTTCACTTTTATCTCCTTCTTTTCAACTTAAAAAACTCATCAATTTTAAAAATACAAATTTAAAAAGGACAATGAGATGCCAGGTAAATCTGCCTTCCCAATCTAACATTCTTTCGATCTGTTACAACAGCCAGAAAACCCTTCCCTTCTTTAGGTCTCTCTGATGGGATGCACACAAAAACGATCTCATTCTCTCTTTATGTACCATAAAAAAATCCTTTCTTCCCAAAGGCTTACAACATTTCCTTTTTCTGCATTTCCCTGAAAGATGGTTAATTTTTGGAAGACCAAATGAATTCCCAAAACAAATTTAAAAATATCAGTTTATGCAAAAGCTGTATTCAACAACTGAATATTTTTTGGTAAAGGAAAGGTAAATAATAAGCAGGATTGTCCTTCGCGCCCTCTACAAGGTAGAGAATTTTTTTTCCCCCAAGCCCATTTTTGAGGGCAGGTTATGTATGTAGGAAAAGCCATCTTTTTCATTGTCAGCTGGTGTACAGGGATAATACAATGATTGGCAAACCAAAGCAAAATCTAATTTTGCTCCTTACTGTAAGGTTTGTTTCAGCATGTTAAGTCTCAAGCCAAGGACCACATATAAAGTAATTTTGGCATGCCTTCTTCTCTTTTATCAAACATGCCTGAAAAAAAAATCTCAGTTGATTTCACCATTTCCACTCTCTCCATCCAGAAAGGACTGGAACCTGATTTTCATAGCTGTATATTTCAGGGAATACCACAGGCCTCGCCAGGTTGACCAAACCACTCCATTATCAAAGGGACCGGAGTATGCCCCTTTCTTGTAATATCGTCCATTAAGATTTGCTTCATGGCACCTTGTGGATATGTCAGAGGAAGGGGAAAAAAAACAGGACAAGATCTTAATGAAAGGTCAGGGAATGGCCCAAATTAGTAGATAAAATGATATAAACCATAATTATTACCTGATATTACATTATGATCAATTGGTGTTAGAACTCTTTCAACCAGGTGACCTTTAGTTCCGCTGGAGAGGAACCAGGGATTCTAGGAGTTGTGTTCCAACCCAGCTGAAGGGCACCAGATTAAGAAAGCAGCATACACATTTTGTTTAATATGAACAATTATACTTCAGCTAGTTGCTCTTAGATAAAATTGATCATTTTCTATAATAAAACCACATGAGTTGCTTTATGCTGCTACCTAGTCTGTTGTCTGATATATATTTTCTTGAATTCATGCTATTTCCATTCGGAAACCATTTATGACCATCAGTAAATGGTAATCTTTTAAATAGAAGGTACTGTAGATGGGGGAAAGAAGATGGATGGAGGCTTGGAAAAGAAACATATACAATGGTCCTTGTGGAAGGGTGTCAAACAAAGGAGATTTATGAGGATATCTAAAATATACAGTAGTTGTTGGTGCTCACCAGACTGGAAAAACTTACAAAACTATTTCCAAAGAGTTTGGACTCTTTAACAGTCAGCTGCCAGGCAGACTGTGTAAAAATAGAGGCAATTCATCACCACCGTTACTCTTCCCAGGAGTGGTTGACCAACCAAGATCATAACCAAGAGGAAGGTACGTAACGCTCCAGAAAATCTAAAAGATCCTAGGGTAATGTCTAAGGAAATGTCTATGCCAACACAGTTCCAGGCTGCATAAACAGAGGGATAGAATCAAGATCACTTGAAGTGTTAATACCACTTTATAATGTCTTGGTAAGGGCACACTTGGAAGGCTGAATTCAGTTTTGGTCGCCACGATGGAAAAAAGATGTTGAGACTCTAGAAAGTGTGCGGAGAAGAGCAACAAAGATGATTAGGGGACCGGAGGCTAAAACATATGAAGAACAGTTGCAGGAACTGGTTATGTCTAGTTTGATGAAAAGAAGGACTAGGGGAGACATGATAGCAGCGTTCCAATATCTCAGGGGCTGCCACAAAGTAGAGGGAGTCAAGCTATTCTCCAAAGCACCTGAGGGCAGGACAAGAAGCAACGAATGGAAGGAGAGAAGCAACTTAGAACTAAGGTAGAACAATTAATCAGTGGAACAACTGGCCTCCAGAACAGTGGTGGGATTCAAACTTTTTTACTACCGATTCTGTGGGTGTGGCTTACTTGGTGGGTGTGGCTTGGTGGTCATGTGACTGAGTGGGTGTGGCCAACTCAATGTCACTCACATCAAGGGCTGCCTCACCTGGCCCCTCCCCTCCCAGCCATTCCTTGTCGCCCAGCCTTAACTTATCTATAGTTCTGTAAAAATGTTGTTCACCTTTTTTGACTTTATTATCTGCATACTATAGATGTACTTTCATGGACCACTGAAAGGAGGAAATGGCTCCCACGCTTTACTCAAGAGTGTGATAGGCAACAGGCTTTTAAGGGGCTGCCACAAAGAAAGGGGGACAATGTATTTTCCAAAGAAGCAGAATGCAAACCCGAAGCAATGGATGGAAACTGAACAGAGAGAGAAGCAACCTAAAACTAAGGAGAAACTTTCTCACAGTGAGAACAATTAACCAGTGGAACTGCCTGTCTCCTGAAGTTCTGGGTACTCAATCACTGGAAGTTTTAGACTGGACAGCCATTTCTCTGAAACGGTATAGGGTTCACCCCAAGGTCCCTTCTAAGTATTATTCTGACACCTTTCCCAGGATTTCTACTCAGAGTTTGGCATCCTCAGTTTTCTTGCCTGAGCTGTGGGTTGGACTAGAAGACCTCCAAGGTCCCTTTCAACTCTTGTTAAACACGTGTATTTTATGCTCTGGACTATGGACATTGAATGCATGTAAACCCTGAAAAATATGTGGTAGCCCTGAGCAAAAGAAAGGCAGAAAAATCACTCTAGGTGCAGGGACAGTGTAAAATATTAACACATGATAAATAATGGAACAATTAAAAATAATAGCACAGAGTTTTCCCTGTCTCTCTCTCTCCCTTCTTCCTATTTCTTTCTCTTTCTTTGTCTCTTTCTCTTTCTCTTTCTCTTTCTCTCCCTTCCTTTCTTTCTCTCTCTCTCTCACACACACACCATACTCTCTATTTTTCCTTCCTTCCTTCCTTTCTTCCTTCCTTCCTTCCTTCCTTCCTTCCTTCCTTCCTTCCTTCCTTCCTTCCTTCCTTTCTTTCTTTCTTTCTTTCTCTCTCTCTCTCTCTCTATCTCTCTCTCTCTCTCTCTCTCTCACACACACACACACACACACACACCCCTGTCAGCCTTCATTCCCTCTCACTCCAGGCACCTTACTCACAAGGGGAAGTGAAAGTGAATCCAGCATTAGAGAAGTTCTGCAGGTAAACGGACTTGCATTTGCAGCTCCTGCAAACTTCCCCATGGCTGGATTTCCCCCCACCCCCACCCCCAGCGTTCTTTCCTTTCCCTCCAGGCCCTTTACTCACAAGGGGAAGCGATACTTCTAGTGTCCATGAAGAATCCAGCCTTGGAACACTTTTGCAGGTTAACGGACCGCTGCTCCGCCCACAGTCATGCGTTTTCAAGTGGCTGCTTGACAATGCATGGCTAGGGTGGGGGAGCAGTCCTCCTTTTAACTGGGGCATTAAGCATTGGGTGGGCGGGGCAAGCGAGTGAGCGGAAACCGGGCGACCGGGTTGGGGGTGTGGCCAGCTAGATGTTGCTACTGGTTCGGCGACCCATGCCAAATTCTTGCTACCGGTTCGCCCGAGTAGATGCGAACCGGCTGAATAGCAGAGGCTAATCAACAGAGGCTGAACCTCTGCTCCAGAAGTTGTGAATGTTCCAACACTGGAAGTTTTTAAAGAAGAAATTGGATAATCATTTGTCTGAAGTGGTGTAGCGTTTCCT